TTTATTTTGTGTTTCCATTAATGACTTTTATATTTATATTTATATCAATATGTCTGCTATAATTCTTTATATTGATATTTATAGTGAAGTTATATTTATATATTATTATATTTATATTGATATATATATCTATTTACTTATAAATATATATTTCATATATTTGTAGTTATTTATATATATTTAGTTGTGTATTGATATTTATATTTTTCATTTTTTTCTCATTTTTTAAATTCTCATTTTAATCAAATGTATGATTTTTTTTTTTCATATTGTATTAAACTATTGAACTTATTTAATGAGTTTGGTTGTTATATCTTTATCTAATATAAAAGTTATTAATTGAATATTTTTATATTCTATTTTTTTTATTCTTTAAAATTTTTGCTTTTCTTCATGAAAAGGAAGTTGATGTGTTTTCATTACTTTTTGTATACAGATATGAGACAAGGTACGCAAGGTGCATCTTATTCTAGATAGTAGGTTGATCTAGAGGGAGAACCACAGAGGCCACTTCGTCGTTTTATTCGGGGGCCTCGTAGGGCTATTCCTACATAGCAGCAGCTGCCCAGCTTGAGCTAGCCTCCCGCACAGCAACAGCTTTCCAGTTTGACTCAGCTTCCCACGCAGCTACAGTAGAAGCAACCCACTGTTACTCAGCCACCATTGGACGATGACCAGTACACTGGTGTTGATGCAACAATGGAGGAGGACACTGAAGAGCGTAATTTGGAGGCTGAGTTGGATGCTGAGTTTGCTGTGCTTGATCCTGAGTTAGATGCTCAGCTGGAGGAAGAGCTATCACGTGCTGTCCTAAAGACAGGACGTGGCATGGATAAAGGAGATGATGCTCCTGTAGACTCGAGTCAAAGGAAGGTGCTTAGCCTTAATCGTCGAGGCACATTTAGCCATGAGAGGTTTGGGAGGATTGCCACAGTAATATGGAAGTACTTGTATGATGAGCCAGTGCTTTTTTGGTCTAGTTGGCATAAGGAAAAGAAGAGGGTTGCTTGGGAGAATTTCTAGGTATGAAAATTATAGAATAAAATGAAGTATTTTTTGAGAATTTATTTAGATGCTATAATTTTATTTTATGGCATTTGATATGGAAGTACAAGGTATATTTTTGATATGATTTTTTATATTTTATTTATTAATAGTGAAAAAAAAAAGATAATTTAAGCAAAATTTTGCTCTTTTTTTTAAGAAAAATCAAATAAATTATTAAAATTTAATTTTTGTTTTCATTGCAGATGACATATTATTGGGAAGAAGATGATGCTTGTGTGTATAAAATTTGGGGATTACATTGTCGAAACCGTTTCCGAGATGAACTTCATTGAGCTCGAAAGGCGTGGGTCAGGTACAAGAAGTTGCCTGAGTTCATGCATAAGGATACCTTTAAAATTTTGTTGGCAAAATGGAGGAGTCCAAAATATATTGCACTCTAGGAAAGAGGTTGGCAAAACCAAGCAAAGGGTGATCGTGTGACCCACACAACTGGATGCCTTTCTATTGGGATCCACGAGGATCGATTGGTTAGTAGGATATACTTATATATATACATATATAAATTATTTTTGTTTACCATAAATATGAAATATTATTGATTTTATTGATGTTTTAATGGCAGCTAAAAGAGGAGGAGTTAAGCCAACACCTTTGGAGTCGTACTTGTTGACTCACACGACTCGCCGACCTAATGCTCCAGAAGATGCCCCACCTACTTGGATATGTCCATAGGCTAAGCAGACATATATAAGAATTTGATTCTTTTATGATATTAATTTCATTTATTTTTAATGTCATATTGCCCTAAAAGAAGAAAAGCGATATAATTTTTTATCCATTGTACTCAAGAAATGATTATTTTTCATTTGATTTCCCATTATCATTTGAAATTGCTAACTAATGAAAATTTTATTTTTGAAACAAAACTATGCTCACCAAAAATATGTGGAGAAGCATGATCCAAACAAGGATTCGTGGCTAGAATGGGATCCACTTATCTGGAAGAAGGTGGTTGGACCTCCTAAAAAGGGTCAAATGAGAGAGATGTCTACATTACAGGATCTAGCAGAGCATGACATCCCTTGGTGATGGTATGACATGAGTGAGGCTTCCTTTTCTACCACTAGGATTCTTACGACACAAGTCCAACAATTGCAGTCTAAGCTTATTCAAGTTCGGCAAGAAATGGTTGAGCACGTTCAGATAGAGGTGGCCGCACGTATTCATATAGAGGTATCACAGAGAGTATCAGAGATGGAGGCCAGCTTTGAGAAGAGATTCAAAGAGCACATGCGCTTACTTAGCCAGCAATATTCTATGAATGCTACACAACCCCAAACTGGTTGTCCTTCTTTTGCACCACCCAAGACTGCTGATCCTTCTTTTGGAGGATTTAGACCTGATCACTTACCACCTCCTATTTAGAGATATTGATATTTTAAACTTATATTATATATGTTTATATATATGTACTATATATGTATATATATGGTGTGTAGGATGAGAAGTTAATATATATTTATCAATTTAAACTAGTTTTTAGTTATGTAGTATTTGAGTTTAAATAAGCAAAATATATAATATTAATAAAATTTGACAATCCTATAGTAAAAAGAAAAAAATTACAATATAATATTTTGCAAAGAAATAGCATATATGTATATCTTTATCTAAGCTAGAATTTTTATAATTAATTATTAGCTCAAAAAAAATTGATTCTTATTACTTTTAAAACAAAAAATTTTACAAGAGAATTAATAAAAAAAAACTCAAAAGAAAAACCAAAAAACAATTCAAAAAAAAAATAATTAGATAAATCAAATTGTCAATTAGTTTAAAAAGATAGTATATTTGTTTAAATATAAGGATTAAAAAAAAAAACTGTGACTATATTCTACAGCATATGGCTGTCGAATATAACACCGCCCCCTACCTTCCAAGCAAAAAAAATTGAATTTTCCAGCCAAAAAAATTGAATTTCTCAACTATTTAAATTTCAAACATATTCGGCAGAATTTCTGTCGAATATGTTTGAAATATAAATACCACTCCGACATCAGAACATCTCATTGCTTCTGATTTTCATCTTCTTGCCTCTTCCTTTCTCCTTCTCCTTCTCCTTCTCCTCCTTCTCCTTCTCTTTCTTTTCGTAGGTAACATGTCTCTTTGAGCTTCTTCTCCTTTTATTTTCGTTTTTCTTTCTTCTTTTACATTCTCCACTTTATATTTTCGTAAATTACCTTTAATTTTGACAATCCATCATCTTCTTTCTTTTCATTCTTCTCTTTTTTTTGTTGAATTCTTATTATTTAATATACTAATAGTTCTTTTTTTTTTTTTGGATTTTAATACATTGATTATGAGATAATGTGAGGTAAATTTTGTGATTTATACTTTTTATCTTCCTTTCTTTTTGAAATTCTTATTACTTGATATAAATTTTTTTCTGTTATTTTTGGCAGGAATAGGAATACATTTCAAAATAATTAAGGTTAATGCTCATTTTAATTTTATTTATAATTATCTATTACTTTTTATATTATTGTTAAAATTGTTTCATAAATATATTGTTGGGGAACTTGATAATTGTGTTCATTTTACTGATTTTTTATATAAAATTAACAGAAAATAATATAAGATTAATTCTAGATTTTGTTGATTTTTCAATATTTTTTTATTTTTCTGCCAAGAATATTTGACAGCAACATCCTGTCGAATATAATTTCCAAAAAAAAAAAAAAAACCATTTCGATAGCTATTAGCTACCGATTATATAGCTTTAATCGACAATCATTCGCTGTCGAATATAACCTTTGAAAATTAAAAAATCTATATCATCAACGAAGTTCTGTCGATTGTGTGTATCTTCGACAGCCAATATCTATCGATTAAATTAATATATTCGATAGAAAAGTTAGCTGTCGAATATACTCATTATCGATTATATTTTATACAACATACTTGACGGTCAATTATGTTTGTCAATTAAGACATAATCGACAAAAATACCTCTATATTTGACAAACTTTTCTGTCGAATATTACCTTGTTTTCCAGTAGTGATAGTAAAAGTGTACAGGGCAATTGTCCCTATTTAGTTACCATTAGAGTATTCTTGAATCAACTTTTTTAATGTTTTGACATCAATTTCTTTTTAAATGATCTTAAAGATGCACCTCTCAAATCAACTTGTTATATTCAAGAAAATTAATTTTTTTGAGTGCTAAACCTACAACTTAAACTTTGAGACTAAGCTATAACCCTTAGATTTGTATTCATTATTATTAATTGGTTAAAGAGTGTTGCATTTTGCCAATAAAAAAAGGGGCTTAATTATTGTGTTTTGTTAAAGCCACACAAATAATATAGTAATTGTGTTTGTTTTGATTGATTTTATTAATTTATAATTTTTTCTTAAATAACTATTTCTAGTGCTTAAAAATATCAATCTATAAGTTCATTTTTAATTTGTTAAGTAATAAATATTAATTGTTCTATTAACTAACAATTTTAACTATCAACTATTTCCAATAATCAAACAATATTTTAAGTGACTTTAACAAAAAATTTTGTGACAATAACCATGTTTGGAAAAAAGAGCATTGTTTTTTAAAAATTTTTCTAAAGTGCATTTATTGCATATTTTCTTCATGAATTTCTATAAGAGAAAACAAAAAGGCTAATATGCATTTTGGCACCAATGACACTTGGATGCTTATAATTGAGTACTTAAGCAAATTAAAGTCAATTTTTTTTTTTATAACAATTAGTTGTAAAAAAATATATAATAAATATACTCTTATAAATACAAATTATAGAAACCATTTTTTAATAAAACAAAAGATAAGATTTTTATTGTTGAAAGTATAAGCAATACTGCCATATAATTAGGTATTATAAGTCATGGCTAAGATAAAGAGTGTTATGTTCCTGCTGGTAATCTTGAGTTATTGTGAATTTACCCAAAGCACAATCTACAAAATATGCTTAGTAAGTAAAATGGAGTCCATATTATATCAGACTATATAACACCAACCATTAAATGGAGATAAAATCCCCTCTTAAGCTTTGAAACTTTCTCCAAATTAACATTTGGGCCTTTGAACTAAAACAATACAAATAAGCCCTTAAAGCTCTCGGATGATGTAAATTAACCTACAAATTCATTGAAAGATGCAAATCAGCCTCATCATTAAAAGCCTAATATTGTGACCTCATATCATATGTTCTTTTCATTTGAAGGGATCTTTTGATCATGTGTTAATTTGGGGGAAGCTAACATCCATGGGGTCTTTTGATCCGCAAGGAAAAGTGAAACCAAGTGAAGGAAAAGAACAAACAGCGTAAGGTCACATAAGTTGGGCCATTAATAATAATAGAGTTGATTTGAATATTTTGTGGGAGTTTAAGGGCTAATTTACATTATTAGAGGGGTTTGAGAATTTATTTACACTATTTTTAATTTAGGGACTCACATGTTAATTTAGGATAAGTTTAAGAGCTTAAAAGGTTGCCTTGAATGACGGCCTTCTTCCAATATTAAAGTCTCCTTGTTAATCCAGTAACTATTATTTTTGCAGTACAAATTATCGCTTTTTTATATAAAAACCCAATACACTAAAAATTACAACAATACTTTTACGGAAGGCAATTTTCCTAATTCATGTGGGGGCTTGTAGGGATCCTCATCATGGGAGCAGGGGGAGTTTTATCTGTGAATTTATGCGGCGGATTTTTCTCACCCCTCAAGACCTGTGGAGATCTCCATCCTTGCGAAAAAATTTAAAAATATATAAATTAATTTTATTTTAAATTTAATATAACTCAATATATCAGTACATTTGGAACCTAACTCAATTATTCATGTTGGAGTGATATTTATTTATGTTTAGATAATTTATATTTGATTTTATCATATGTTTATTGACCTTACAAGTTACAACTAATTGTATTTTTGTAATTTGCAAAGATAAAATTTAGATGTTATTACTATTGTACAAAAATAAATTCATTGATTTAATTATTTATATTTGATTTATCTTTGTTTATATTTGAACAATTTATATTTAATTTTATATTTAAAAATTTTTAAAATTTTATTCATTATAATTAGATATTAATTGATTACAAATAAAAAAATTTATATTTTAATATAAATTTATGAAAAATAGAAATCCCTGTAGAGAACAGAGACAGAAAACAAAATCTATCCCCAGTTAAAATTTCCCGCGAATATCTGGCCCGAAGGTCCGGCTGCCACCCCTAAATACTTCTATATCACTACAAGAAAAATGATTTTTGGTGATAGAAATTTATGATGAATTTTGAAATCATCACTATAATTTATCACAATTGTGACAGATCTAAAAAAATAGTCACAAATACATACATATTTAATGATAAACAAAAAAATTCATCATAAAAAATATATTTCGTAAAAAAAAATGTTCATACAGATAAAATAAGTTTTTTTCGATAAAAATCATCACTATAATGCATTACAATTATGACAAAATTTTAATATCGGTTACATATACCTCACACATTCAATGATAACCAAATAATTTATCACTAAAAAATATATTTCATCACTAAAAACTATCAATTTTCTCTAATCAATACATCCCACGTCGATAAAAAACATATAAGAGAATAATGTTTTACACTATAAATATATCCCACATCGATAAGAAATATTTAAGAAAATAAATTTTTGTACTATAAAACATGTGAAACTCAATAAAACTTGAGATTAGTTTGGGTTTGATTAATTTTAATCGGGCTTGATTAATTTTAATCAAGTTTGATTAATTTTAATCAAAATTAATTAGTATTGAAATAATAATATTTTTTATTAAAATTTTGTGATAAATTTATATATTATTTTTTTGTGACAATTTTTGTTAAAATATTTGTGTTGTAATTATATAAATATCTTTTTTATTTAATATCAATTTTAATAATTAATAATTAAATTTTGCACCATAATTACATTTGTGATGAATATTTTTTTTGTGACGAATAAAATTGTTATGAATAACTTGTTAATAATATTAATTTTTTTTATCACTATAAAGTTATTTTCTATGACAGGTGCCTAATTTGTCACTAAGAGCATTAGTGACAAAAATTTTACTAACAATTTAAATTTTATCACTAATAATAATTTGTAACGAAAAATAAAGATTTAATTATCAATAATTTAGTCACTAAATATGAATTTTTTGGTAGTGTATATAAACTAGGTTTGGTGAAAAAGAAACCTTAATTTATGGGCCCTACCATCACGATTAGCAGACACATCCTAAGCAATTTTTTAGTTGTTTCCCTCTATCAAGCCCATACCCTACATTCTTGCTTTTTAGAGATCATGTACGTTTCATTCCATTAATGCCAGGAGTTCACTTAATAATTAAAAATTACTGTGATATCGTACAAGTTGCCAAGTTGCCGACCTGGTAGGTCAGGAGAGAGAAAATCTGTGCTTTATACAATTTCTAGCTTAGCATTTTGAGTGTGAATTAACCATCCACCTAAATCTCACCAAACGAAAGAATTGCCAAAGAACTATAATAAAGCCTTCGTAGGTAAGTCTAGGATTGGGAA